CCGCCAACTTACCATGGAACTTTGAATGGAGACCTGGGTAGATCGATAGTCTATAATTTACAAATATAGATAGCAAAACTGCAACCTGCATTTCACAAGCAACTTATGAGCAGGTAAAGTTTGTTGGTGCAGTAGGGTGGAGGCTTGGTGGTGAGCTGTGAAGCATAAGCGAGGAATCGCATACGTCGAATCGAGTCGTGGGTTCAGTGGTAAGGTACGTTCGACGACTCGATTCCGACGTATGCGATTCCTCGCTTATGCTTCACAGCTCACCACCAAGAGGTTGCAGTTTTGCTATATTTGTAAACAACCTCATAGACTCTATCAGTCTACCCAGGTCTCCATTCAAAGTTCCATGGTAAGTTGGCGGACTTCCCTGGTAAGTGAAGGGTGGGCGTTCAAAGTCAATTTGTATCACTCAGGAAACTGTATTTGGAACACAATATTAACGTAGTAGGGAAGTAGGGGGAGGGGCCTTGGACCACGCTTTTGCTTCCTTCCCCTTACCAATATTTAGGCTTGGAGAGCAGACGATCAGATCCCTCAGGCATACTTTCACAAAGAAGAAAAGGCATAGTCTCCACTCAGTCTAAGCCTTGGTTCGGAGAAGGGACAGAATGCTTCCTCCTCCCGTAAATGCGTTAGTGCTAGAGACTCTCGCACATCTTGTATCATATAATTTAAATCAGTGTAGTTCGCCTCCTCCTTACTTTACTTGTTGATGCACAGTACTTTGTAAATCATCTTTTCAGGGTAAATCTGAATTGATTTTAATCGCATTTCAGGTGGTGTAGGCTTTAAATCTTTTCCCATGTAACCATGTCACACACCCAGAATATGTATAAAGTGGGCGGTAAGTGGTAGTGTTCGTTCACTTGCACATCACTCGTGAAGCAAGGCTTTATTTAGATTATGTTATTCGAGACGCCGAGAACACACCTATCAGATACCCCATCCGGATAGAAGATTGAATAGGTTCTCAACAATTGAATTCTCATTTTTCAGTTATTCAGTCTTCTGAAACCCATTTCTACTTCTGAAAAATGCCCATTCTTTCGCAGATAGTGCGGTAAGATTCGCACGTACAGGCCTCGTGACACATAACGAATAGTTGAATGTGCACCAAAGGATTATATGGGAGCCGATCGACTGTCCATGAGCGAACTGGAAGAATAAGGGGGTTGTAGAATCTTAGGAAAACAGTCGCTCCCCTAAATATTCATCTATTGCTCTGGCGCACGATTTCCGACTCTCTGATTCTGCAGTGTATTTGCAGATCAGGTCAAGTTTGAAAAGGTGCGTTCATACTATGCAGCAACGGCGACCAGCGCACGCACATTTCCGAACAGCGAACGCCAGCGCAGCGGACTAGGAAAATGTAGGTATCGCGTCTAGCGAAACGCTCACCAGCGCTTAGCAGTCGTCCAGGGGGGGGTTTGGCGGGGGGATTTTTTTATGGGGAAGTAGAGTTTGCGCCAATTGCAACCGACCATCAACGCACATATACCATACATTAATGGCATAATAATTTGCGTGCTTTGGAGTTGTACGGTGTAGTTGCAGACGCCGCAATTTCACGACGCCTAATCCAGCTGTTCGCTACCCTCCTACTTCCCCATACTCTCTACTCCCGGTCGCTGTGGACGCTGGCAGACGCTGGATCGATATCTACACTTTCCTAGTCGCTAACGCTGCCGGACTTTCGGATTGTTATTGAACGCTGGTGGACGCTGCCGCAAAGTACGAATGCAGCCTCAGCATAAATTTCAATTAATAAAGTGCTTTCAGCCGAACTCACTAGGGCGTTAGGTTCGACACTTGTCTGTGAGGTCGAAGTTGAGATCTCTAAGTCACCTAAACCGTTTGAAAAACATTTCTGAGAGACACAGCTTCTCGGCCATATAGTTAACAAATAGACCTGTCCGTTTTAGTTTTTTAATGAAATGTGAAAATAAGAGGCTGTCGAAAATGTTCGGTTTCGTCGACCTGACCCTCCAATTTGAGCATATAATTATTTGTGGAAACAGAATACTTGAAGAGTTATCTTATGGCCTAAGGAATTCTCTGCAAAGGTGTGAAACTTAGTAGCAAATCGTTCCATGTTTGGTGCAACGTTAGGAAAAAACGCCATTGCTTCTGGGCCAGTCGAGTACTTCGCGATGCGATGGCTTGGATCGCGCGATTCAAGCACCCGGATCGCGATTTATGAGTGCGCTATTAGGTTCACTTTGGCAGAAACGCCCTTGCCATTCCTTGCTAAGTGTGCAAGCGCCATCGTCCTTAAGATTGTGGACCGGGCGTGGATTGTAACTATAGTTTTAGCTGTTATTTTTTTGATAACTGCTGTTTAACGCCGCAGTGCGCGATCCGAAAGTTATCACAAGAATGCTGAGTTATGGGCAAAAGTCGGACCACGGACGGGATTCGAACCCGCATCTTCTGCTTACCGGGCAGTTGCGTTCACTATTACGCTACACACTTTTGACCTCTCAGCTCAATGGCTGTTTGTGCCATTGCATTCGAGCTTTTAGCACTCAGTAACAGCTGAAACTTGTAAAAAGCCTTCAGCCTTGCGGTTCACTGCCGATATCGGCTAACCGGCTCATCACGTTGAACGTGTGAGTGCTCGAAGGCAATGGCACGCCATTGAGCTGGCAATGGCACAAATAGCCATTGAGCTGAAAGGTCAAAAGTGGCCCCGGTAGCGTAATAGGGAACGCAACTGCCCGGTAAGCAGAAGATGCGGGCTCGAATCCCATCCGTGGTCCGACTTTTGCCCACAACTCAGCATTCTTGTGTAACTACAGTATAACGGGATTTTGTCTATCATGTAATCACGGAATTTATCTTCAAAGGCAGTGCGCACTATGGCTGTGGATGGACAATCGCTGCCACGGTGATTGGTGGAAGAGCGAAGAGAGTTTGGTCAAACACCTTCTCGCAGCCCTTTCACCACCGACGTGGGTGGCGACCGCCCGCTCCCAGCCATCGTGCACACTGCCTCGAAGTTGTTAAACAGGCTGTGATTTTAAATTTGCTGGATGGAGAAGTTCTGTCAGGGTTTCAGACTGCAACAGGGCAGGTCGAGGCACGGGTCACCTTATATTATCGCCGTCGTGACATTTCTACTGCACTTCTGAAAATCGCAGATCAAGCCGAGCGGAGATTCGATGAATGTGAGATCACTCTTCTACCCTCATTTCCTCCCCGGAAGCTGCAATAATGATGGAACTTGAGTTCCAGCATTTTCAGTTATCTTGTTTTCAGATTACGAGGAAGACAAGCCGAAACCCGACAAATACGGATCAGCTGGTCACACTGTGGCCAACGGTGCTGAAGCTAAGGCAGAACCACCTGACATAGCAGGTACTGCAGACGGATCTGAGTATCCAGAGTGTGGTGGGCTTCGTGAATCCGAAATAATCTGTATGTTGGTATCATTTAACTCATTCTTCAGACCATAAGAATGAGGTGAAAGATGAAACAGACTCGGACAAGCGCTTCGAATGGGGATCAGCTGGTTTGCCTCTCGGTGTCGAGGAGCTCGAGGAAGTTCGTCGTCACAGAATCAGGTAGGTTGACGCTCTTCTCCATCGTTTGAACGTGGATTTGAAAATTATTGAGGATCCTTCATCAGCAGATTTGGTTTAAACATCTAATCAGAAGAGATTGAATATATTCCAGGCAGCGGGAATTGTTCCTTTCGCGACAAGTGGAGACTCTTCCAGCCACACTCATTCGTGGAAAGTGTCAAGTAACACTGCTTAGCGAGATCGAAACAGTTTCCAGCTATGAAGGCGAAGTGCGTTTTTCTTTGTTATTACCGATTTGAACCTGATTTTGTTAATGCTTATCCTCCAGGACAAATTCTTCTATTCCCTGGTCTACGATCCGAGCCAGCTGACATTGCTTGCTGACAAAGGAGCTATCCGAGTGGGCGAAAAATATCAAGCACAAGTACCTGCAACAATGGAGTGTGACGATAGCAAGGAGAATGGAGATGGGTACGGCTACCCTTCCTGCTCTTATCTCAGTTCGGTCTCTAACGCACCATGTCGCTGAATACTCTACAGATGGTCCAAAAAATCATCGAAAACAAGTTCCGCGATAAAAGTGCCCGTAGAATGTTTCCGCAGTTTTGGTGGTCGGATCCCTAGTAGCTGAGAGTGTGTCACCTAAGCCACCTTTAAGTGTGTGAAAGGCACCAGAACGCGTGACATGCAACCATTCGGATTTGTGTGAGCCATTAGTGCCCACAAGACAGCGGCTTTTTTATTAACTGCTGCGCCTTCGTGTGCAGGGTCATGGGACAATTCTATATTAATTCTGCTGGGCGTGCTCAGAGATGACTGTGCTCTCCCCGGGCACATTTCTTTCGAAAAGAGGCACGTGCAATCAGAAGCAATCCAGTTCGCAAGGTACGGTAGGTTCTGGTGTTGCTTCTGGTCACCAGTGATGCAATTGCATTGGTGCAACAGTTCATTGGGTTACCGTGCTTTCAAGTTGTGTGAGGAGTTTTTGGATGCTGTTCCCTTTCACAGGCTTCCTGACGGACATTTCGTTTCTATTCTTTTACGTTTTTTTTCGTTCAAGATCTATGTGTATTGAGTACACATGGTGCGAAGAAATGCGGATTGTAATCCTTGGTACCGATTTGCGCTATGAAATCAGCAAGTCCGAAAAGACCTTGTCTTGAAACTGTCGAGAGGCCTTTATTTTGGGCTTCTCCAATGTCTTTTTCTCGCTTTTTTTTCTCCGCGGGAGATTTACCTGTGATTTACCTAGAGTTCACAAGCTCATCAGGTATGCTATTGTCCACTGCATGCGATCGCGCAAAGTGCCTTAGAGATAAGATGCACACTAACCTACGAGAACGATCCTTGATTTGTGCGTGGTGAATAGGAGCACAACTGCAATAGCGCGCCACTTTCTCCGTTCACAAGTGTACGAGAACGGAAAAGGGGCAGTTATACTCGTATGCTTTGCCACTCCATCCGCGCTATCCTCTGCCTGCAGTTGCAAAACCATTCGCCAAGCACAGGGTAAGGATCGGCCATCGTGCAGTGTCTTACGAAACCAGATGTTAACGTGAGCACCATTCGAAGAAAAGTTATTAACTGTCTCTTGGTGACGATTTTTGTGAGTGGATCAAGAGAACTCCCTCTGGTTTCTGACAGATATTTCTTTCAGAGATGAGTTGATGATTGACGATGAAGAAGAGCGTAGTGGCAGCGAGATACGTTTATCACATCGCGCACCGTCGGAAACTGAGCGAGAAACACTCGTCTATCATCCCCATCACTCCCTGACGGACCGAGATATGGATCAGTTCCTCATCGTTGCAAGGTCTGTCAAGTTGAATAAAAAAATTTACAGATTTAAGCATTCATGTTTACAGTGAAGGCTAATTTTCATAACTGGCACAATTTTCTGGAAAAATATATATTTCAGAGCCGTTGGGACGTTCTCACGTGCTCTCGACACTTCCTCATCGACAAAACTGCC